TTTTATAAATTGTCACCGTCATGGCTATCGCTATCCTGTCACTTTCTGTAACATTTATTATAAAACACATACACTGATTGTTTATCGATTTTTGTGTTCATCACTACACTATTATATGTGGTATCATTATTTCACAAAATGACAGTAGCTATTGTCAAATCTGGAATCTAATTAAAATTCTGACTATAAGCGGTTCAATTCCTCCACGGAACATTAATTTGTCTGATTCATTAATATTAGTTGTAGGTCTAGGGTGAGATTATCCAGTGTCGCTACGCACAATCCATTGATTAGTCTAGATAAACGTGATACGATGATCGAAATCGGTTGGGCTCGGGAGGCTTTATGATGTGACGTCAACTTTTCTCATCAGTTTTTTTTAAACGTTGCCCCACACTAGGATTTTCTCCTGTGTCGTGGGTGCGTTTACAAACATACAAGTTCACATACACATGACACCCAGACCTGGAACAACAATCTGTGGATCACACAAAGAGTTGTTCCGTGCGGGAATCGAACCCGCGACCGCCAACCGTGCAGTCAATTAATACAAATAATAGGTCCGTATCATGCAATAAGGGGTTCGCCTATTACTTACACGACTTACCGGGCAAAATAAATAGCTCCTGAAATTAAAGATTTCTGAAAAAACAATAAACAAGAATGAGAGCACACTTGTTTGCACAATTGCTCGACCAACGACGCAATCGTTTGGCGAAACCCACATTAAATTCTATCCAGCAATTTTCGAGCTCACCGCCAACAGACAGGCAGACGCTCTGTACCCATTATAACACATAATATAAGAATTTACATATATAAACAGCAGCTACACCTGTCCGTTTGTTTATGGAGCACGTGGCTATAGTTTATAATATGACTGGTTATGTTAACTACTTCCTTTCTTTAAACACTGACGCATACCCCCGGATGTTACTATTATTTATTATTTGGGCACATGTAGGCGCTTTAGTGTAGCCTAGTTTTTTAAAGAATATTAAAAAGCAATAGTTTTTTATAAAAAACAGGCGTCTGGTTGAGTTTCTTGTCAAAGTCAAAGTCAAAATCATTTATTTCAATTAGACCAGGATGGCACTTTTGAACGTCAAACAACAAAAATTTATAAGTGAAGCTAGTTGCTCATTCCAAGGCGTAGATTCCTATGGAGAAGAACGAGCAAGAAACTCCATAGGTTACTCTTTTTCAATCAGGTTTACAATACAATTCTCTAGTTACATAGTTTTATTGGTTCGATTATGTGAGAACAATGCAACACCTAAATCCAGTCAGAAAGACTGAAAAAGAAAATAACCTTGAGGATAATAAAATAAAAAGATACAGTCTGGAGCTGACCAGTTCCAATTGACGGTGCCCGTTCACGAACATTTTGCGAACCCTAGCACCGCCCAACTCAACCATTTTGTAGGGAATCGAGCGATCCAATCAGTGTTGCCAACCCCAAAAAACAAAAAAACAACAACTCACTTAAAAAAAAACAGTAGAAAGCAGTAGGTAAAGAAAAAGCGCTCATTTCATATTTTTGGTAATATAATTAAGTAATGAATACCTAATTGTTTAAGTGACTAGAACTCACATTCAAATGAATAGCAATCGGTTATTTCGGATTTTGTCCTTTAATAGTTGTAGTCGATGTTCTGATACGTAGGTAATTTGGTTTTCGTAATATTTATTGCAGAAAATAACCTTTCTACGACGGCACTGCTATGTGGTCCTACTGTGGTAGGCACAAAAGCTTTTTTACTATGTAAATCACACAACGCAAGGAACGTTTGAGAGTCTCCTCCATTCTTTAATTCTTGTCCATGTTTCAAAAATCGATAGTATCGGGAATTTTGTTTTGGTAGAAAGAAAACAGTAGAAAATAAGAATGAAACAGAAAACATGGACATCAAAGCAAAAACAGCAAATCTACTGTTAAAACAGTAGGGTTGGTAACAGTGGATCCAATGCACGTGCCACCGCCAACGAGATCTTTGAGTGAGCATGACAACTCCAAGCTGACATAAATGCAATCTACTAGTCTAATTTGATTTAATTAATTACTTGCTCATTCTTCACTGTTTTAATCTACAATTGCGTACTTGCCAACAAGTCAAATTCAATACTTTTTTCGAACTGTCAAATACGACAGTTTTCTATGAATTTTGTACGAGATTGTGTATTGTGACGTCACTTTTTTAGCGTCAAACAGCATAGTTATTTCTCAAAAATATGCTGAAAGAATACTGAAATAAATTTGATCATAAAATCAATTAATGAAAGTGTAATAATTTTTTAATATTTTATCGTATTGAACAGTTGAAATAATTTGTTTTTTAATAATGACCTACCAACCCAAACGAACCCTTTTTTAAGACAGGGGAAAATCTAGAGAAGGTGCTTTTTGGGCCTCTTTATTGATGACGGGGGAAACCTTCAAAAGGCGCCTAGCTTTTTAGGCAGAAAGAGGGGGGAGTGTGGGATCTATATTCTACAAAGGCTGCGGTCAAGCAATCGCGGCGCGGCTTATCCTAACCCCTTGTAATTATGTCAGAGGCTCATAGTACAACACTTAATACCACCGTACAATGTAACACCCACTTCTCACTATTTATGTTATAAGTCCCATGTAATAGGAGGTGAGTTTATTGCCACATACCGGGCACAATTCCAGACTGCGTGCTAAACTACTGAGAATTTTTTTAAAAACCCTGTAATACTTTTCCCGACACGGTAATAAACCCGAGACCCCTTGCCCGGCAGTCGCACTTGCAACCACTCGCCAAAGAGACAGTCAAGTATCTATAGTAGAACCAAAAAAAATTTCATGTTACCATAAACAGAAGTCAAACCTATTTTTGTTAAAACCGTCTTATCAACAAGTGCAGTTAACTTATAAACAGTTTTGTTATCTACGTTTAACAGCTGTCTGTTATTTGTCGACCTTTTTCAAAAATAGGTAGCCACTTGAATGCCTAAGTTCTGTGTATAAATATTGGAGTGGAATGGGGTTTCTTGCTCGTTCTTCTCCATTCGAATCTACATTTTAGAACGAGCGCCTAACTTCATTGACAGACAGACGGACGGACAATTCAATTTTTGACGTTTCAAAAGTGCTTAATTGATATAAATGCTTTGACTTTGACTTTACTTTGACACACTCTCATGCATGAGAAGCGTCTAAACCTTCGGGCCACCACGACACACGTAAAAGATGCATCGTACAAAAGCCAATAGACAATGCAGGAGTATCAAAAAAGCGCGCCAAAAAAACATGGCTCATCATCATCATCATCATCAACAGCCTATAAATGCCCACTGCTGAGCAAAGCCTCTTCTCACACGGAGAAGGTTAAAGCATTAATCACCACGCTTGCTCAATGCGGGTTGGCGATTTCAAACTTATAATTAGAAATTATAAGTTCTGGTTTCATCACGATGTTTTTCCTTCACCGTTTGTCAATGGTGTCTAAATAATCTTAGAAAGTACATATAACTCGGAAAAAGTCACATTGGTACTTGCCGTTGGTAGGTTTCGAAGCCGCACCCTACCTACAAGGGAACACGACACACGTAAAGGATGCATCGTGGGCGAAACAGTAGGCGATGTATGTGGGACTATTTTTTATAATTATTATTACCTGTAATTACCATACTTCGTGCAAATAAACGTTCTTAATCTTATTCTTATTATCGTACAAAAGTCAATAGACAATGCAGGAGCACCAAAAAAGCGCGCCAAAAAAAACATGGCTACCGCACTCGTAAATTTTTTATAACGTCAAACATTCTTTTTTATGTTTTTCTTGTAAAATTATCTCCAAACGACACACGTAACTGTAACTTGTTTAAAATGTGAAACACGTGCGTATTGGAACAGTAGTTCGACTTTATAATCTGTGGAAAAAAAAGGTTGCAATGAAAGGAACCTTTTTTCGTTGTTTTTTTTACTTTTTTTTTTGTTTTAAAGTCTGTTCATTTAGGAAGTTTAAGCTTGTAACGATTAGGTGTTTAGGAAAAGTAGAAGTTTTATAAAATGATATATTTTTAAACAAATATCATATGGTAATACCACAAACGCACGCCTCAAAGAGCTATCATACCATCACGGATGAGGCCTAATAGGGCTGATGCCGATACGGAGCCGCAAAGAACCTAACGGGTTACCGGGGCTCCGGCTCGAAGTGCAGGAGTAGGAACGGGGTGGTTTTAGTCAGTAAGAGTCTGGCACTCCCTCCCGCCTCACCCAGGCGGGAGCAGAGTGGCTAGCACGAAAGCTATCGAGAAAGTATTCGTATCAGTAAGTCGATGATTTTCCACCCTTAAAAAAAATACCACAAACGCACGATTTTATAACTCAGTTGTTAATGTCCAGCACACGGCGCAGATTGATGCTTCAACAGCCTTTAAGAAGTCGCTGCTGAACTGAGCTGCTTCTCACACGGACTGGTTTAAGCATTATTCACCACGTTTGCTCAATGCGGGTTGGCGATTTGAAACTTATAATTAGAAATTACAAGTCCAGCAGCTGTAGCCAAATGCCATTTAGCGCTTGTCTACATGTAGAATAGAAAACCAAATTATATGGAATTGACGTAAATTTTGACACTTGTCAGTGGCATCCCCATACGTTTAGTTTTCTACTCTCTCTGTAGACAAGCGCTAAATTGGCGTTTGGTTAAAGGCACTGGTTTCCTCACGACGTTTTCCTTCAACGTTTGTCAGTGGCGTCTAAATAGTCTTAGAAAGTACATATAATTCGGAAAAAGTCACATTGGTACTTGCCGTTGGTAGGTTTCAAAACCGTACCTACTGTCATACATGAGAACCGGGCGTCTTACTCTCAGAGCCAGCCATCAGCCGGCTTACCATCATGATACAAAATGATCCGGCTGCTAGTTTGCCGATCTATTCCATAAAAATATACCGATAATAATATTCCACACTTCTTATATTTAAATAATATCTATAGTTAATCCTTATATTTTTCCTTGTTACAGCAAAATTCATCAGCCGAGAAGAGATCCAAGGGCCGCACGGGTTGGCCACAACACGTTTGGGCACTAGAACTGAAAACTGAACAAAACCTACAAACCTAATTCTAGTAAAAAATCTAATTGTATTATCTCTTTACATGAGCTGCTGTTTACATGTGAACATTAGCTCATGACGATACCTAAGTACGAGTGTCGCCTGGACAGTCACCGCTACCATCAGTTGACTGGACAATCTCTTTACATGAGCTGCTGTTTACATGTGAACATTAGCTCATGACGATACCTAAGTACGAGTGTCGCCTGGACAGTCACCGCTACCATCAGTTGACTGGACAATCTCTTTACATGAGCTGCTGTTTACATGTGAACATTAGCTCATGACGATACCTAAGTACGTGTGTCGTCACAGTCACCGCTACCATCAGTTGACTGGACAATCTCTTTACATGAGCTGCTGTTTACATGTGAACATTAGCTCATGACGATACCTAAGTACGAGTGTCGCCTGGACAGTCACCGCTACCATCAGTTGACTGGACAATCTCTTTACATGAGCTGCTGTTTACATGTGAACATTAGCTCATGACGATACCTAAGTACGTGTGTCGCCTGGACAGTCACCGCTACCATCAGTTGACTGGACAATCTCTTTACATGAGCTGCTGTTTACATGTGAACATTAGCTCATGACGATACCTAAGTACGTGTGTCGCCTGGACAGTCACCGCTACCATCAGTTGACTGGACAATCTCTTTACATGAGCTGCTGTTTACATGTGAACATTAGCTCATGACGATACCTAAGTACGTGTGTCGCCTGGACAGTCACCGCTACCATCAGTTGACTGGACAATCTCTTTACATGAGCTGCTGTTTACATGTGAACATTAGCTCATGACGATACCTAAGTACGTGTGTCGCCTGGACAGTCACCGCTACCATCAGTTGACTGGACAATCTCTTTACATGAGCTGCTGTTTACATGTGAACATTAGCTCATGACGATACCTAAGTACGTGGTCGCCTGGACAGTCACCGCTACCATCAGTTGACTGGACAATCTCTTTACATGAGCTGCTGTTACATGTGAACATTAGCTCATGACGATACCTAAGTACGTGTGTCGCCTGGACAGTCACCGCTACCATCAGTTGACTGACAATCTCTTTACATGAGCTGCTGTTTACATGTGAACATTAGCTCATGACGATACCTAAGTCCGTGTGTCGCCTGGACAGTCACCGCTTCCATCAGTTGACTGGACAATCTCTTTACATGAGCTGCTGTTTACATGTGAACATTAGCTCATGACGATACCTAAGTACGTGTGTCGCCTGGACAGTCACCGCTACCATCAGTTGACTGGACAATCTCTTTACATGAGCTGCTGTTTACATGTGAACATTAGCTCATGACGATACCTAAGTACGTGTGTCGCCTGGACAGTCACCGCTACCATCAGTTGACTGGACAATTTCTTTACATGAGCTGCTGTTTACATGTGAACATTAGCTCATGACGATACCTAAGTACGTGTGTTTATAAACAAATATTGTAAATAAAAATAATAGTAAAGTTACTAGTAGATACAATGTATAGTGCAATAAAAATGTGTAGATTTTAGAAACTGCTACCAAGTACGTTTAAGATGGTGGACACAGTCTTTTGAAATAGTTAATAGAGTTGGATAGTTCAATAACCGAAGAAGGCTACAGGATATAATACTTCACGCTAAGATGAATAGAAGCCGAGCAGAACGGGGCAATCTGCACGTAAGTCGCTAGTCTAATAAATATGTGCAGTTGTAAAATTATATTCCCAATACAGCTGTCAAGACGGCTCTATACACTTTTTTTTTTTTTTTTTTTAAGGGGGGAAAATCATCGAATGACTGCTCCCGCATGGGTGAAGCAGAAGGGAGTGTCAGACTCTTACTGACTAAAAACCACCCCGTTCCTTCTCCTGCACGTCGAGCCGGAGCCCCGGTTACCCGTTAGGTTCTCCGCGACTCCGAATCGGCATCGGCCCTATTGGGCCCCATCTGTGGTGGTCTGATGGCTCTTTGAGGCGCGCGCGACGGCTCTATACATTAGCCCAACGCATTACACCAACATATTTGGCCAATATAGTGAATAGGGTAGATTCCTAATTTGTATTTTAATGCCCGTCTGGTAGATTATTTTAAATCATTAGACACGTATTTTTCATTTTCTTACAGAAACGAATACTTTCGACGGTATATTGATTTGAAATGTCGCGTGACATCATTTCTATGTACATTTTATAAAGTCTGTCTCACGAAAGAAGTCTCGCAGATGCGGCGCTACAGTCATGTCACGGAATGTTGCCAAACCTCACTGTTTAAGACTCCCCTAAAATTTCATAAATGATTTCAAATTGAATTTTGGTTCAATTAGATTTTATTATTTTTGATAATTAAATTTATATTCAATAAAATAGAAAGTGATAATGACATAATACATATATGTATTTTGAAAACTTTGTTTATTTTGATGTCCACGATACAGAGCGGTCGCACCATAAAATATTTGTAACAGTGTAATAAATTTGTAGTAGGTAAATAATGTTATTTATAAAAAACTTTAAATTTTAATTGTATAATTATGGTCATCGATTGGGTTTATTCCAGACATACTACAGTCACTATCCGAATCATCTAAATGAATGTCACTGTCGTGATCAGACTCGGTTTCGCTATCGCTTGCTGTAGATATTATGAAGCGATCCATTTCTTCATCTATCAGCCCGTCGTTTCTAAAATATTCATCTGCTAGATGCTCTACATGTTTGCATTGTTTGAACCAATCTTCTGCTGTCACGCTTGCAAACGAATCTTCCGTCAATTTCACAATTTTTTTCGTGTCTTGATCAACATTCTTTTCTGCCACGCGTCTTTTCACAAGACTCCATATTTTTTCGATGGGGTTCAAATCACAATGATAAGGTGGCAGTCTTAAAACTTCATGGTTGTGACTTTTTAATAACTCATCTACGACATAAGTTGGTTGTCCTTTATTTTGTTTAATTAAACCAAACAAAATGGCTTTTGTCCAGCTCTCTTCAAAATATATACCTTTTTCTTGCAACCACTTCTGCATATCAGTTTTTAAGGTTGACATGTTTGGTGCTTTGTTAATTTGAGTGCAGTGATATGGCGCATTGTCCATAACGACAAGAGACCTTTCGGGCAGATTTGGTATCAATTTTTCATTCATCCACTTCAAAAAATTTGTGGAATTCATGTCGTCATGGTAATCAGACGACTTTGACTGGGATTTAAATATAAGTAAAGCATTATTTATAAAACCATTCTCAGATCCAGCATGAGCGATTATCCATCTACTACCAGCAGACTCTGAAGTGAAAAGTCCTGGCTCTTCTTTACTTTGCCAACAATTTTTAGCATGGTATGTGTTGTGGATATACGTTTCATCTAAAAACACCACAGGTCTTTTTTCAACGGTTCGATTTTTTCGCATTTTTTCGATATATCTAGCGCGCCAAGCAGTGATGTCATAGCGTTCCATTAGTATTTTCCTTTTAGACTGGCATCGTTTGTATTTAAATCCAATGCTTTGCAATATCCTATGAAGTGTGGCCCGGCTTCCTTCAAAATTAATATCTTCTTTCAAGACTGCAAGTAATTTGTTAAGAGTAGGCAGTTCCTTTTTTACAACATAAAAATGGTGAATTTTTTGGCGAATAGCACAGAGATCAAAACTATCCAGGTTGAGATTTTTTAGACGTGGACGACATTTCCCTGGAGTTACAATCTTTTTTGAAGTACTTGCAGCTGTTTTCCCTTCCTGTGTCACTCTTGAAACAGTTTTCTCAGAGACACCTGAAAAATATTCTCAATCTGAATACATATTGTTACAAATGCATTTACTTAATTTCATTTCTTTTATTAGTTTGCAAACATGGGTGAAAACACACATTGATGTTTTTTTATCCTAATAAATATGTATAACCGTCAAATGGGTATGCAAATATTGTAAAGTATAAAGTAAAAATAAAACACGAAATAAAATATTGAATATTAAATCACAAATAAAATGGTAAAAATCACATTGCTGGTATCCCTAAAATAGTACCTGTCATGGCGGCAACTCTCTTGCGAACATTGTTTAATGGTATCAAAACACCATGATTTCGTTGTTCTGCTTCACAAAACTCCTTTACCTTCAGTATAATTTCTCGACCAGCACTTTTCACAACTTTAGGCGTTATAAACAACACTTGAGCTCAGCAAATTAACAAAAATCTCAATGGCATCCACACACGATAACACCACCTGACAACGACAACATGGTCGAGCTGTCAAAATTAGTTCCAATTCTTGCCGCGGGACTTCTTTCGTGAGACAGACCTTACGTAGAAATGACGTTTTAGCCCTCCACTTCTAAACTTTGATTCGTTTTATCTAAGTATTGTTTTCTTAGACGACAAAATAAAAAAATACGTGTCTAATATTTTCTCATTACCTAACTTACAAACTAATTATATTTTTTTAATTTTCATACACTGTCGTCATATCAATTGTAATGTCCTTTATGTACATCATAAACAGCCTGTTAATGCCCACTGCTGAGCAAAGCCTCTTCTCACACGGAAAAGGTTTGAGCATTAATCGCTTGCTCAATGCGTGTTGGCGATTACAAACTTATAATTAGAAACTACATATAATCCCTGGTTTCCTCACAATATTTTCCTTCACCGTTTGTCAGTGGTGTCTAGATAATCTTAGAAAGTACATATAACTCGGAAAAAGTCACATTGGTACTCGCCGTTGGTAGGTTTCGAGTCCGCATCCTCATTTATGAGAAGCGGGCCTTAGACCTCCGGGCCGCCACGACAGACCGTTTTGTATCTACATTTCAATAAAATGTAAAATTTTAGTGTTCGTCCACGTCATTGTAATTTGGGAACAAGTCCCACGCGACAATACCGCCTATAGGGCCGAAACACATAACCGCGTTGCGTCGCCGCAACGCTAAAATCGGCAGTTTGCGCTTGTTCCAGCATAGTAGAGTAATGTCTTCTTAATAACAAATAAGCAATAAGTTTGTCACGATGGTCCA